GTAGTGATACGCACAAGCACGTATCATGATGCATGTGGGGTATGAATATTCGCGAGGTGGAGGTGCAATTCCTATGCAGACGCACGTGAACGCTTGTGTGCGGGAGCGTTGAAACGTACTTCCGCTAATGTAGGTACGCAGGTTGTGCATCGTTATTTTTGTTGCAGAGTGTGAGTAGGCCCCCCCACGCTGGCACCCTGGGCACATCGCGGCGCAGACCCGCGAGGGGCGCGTTGGACATTTCAAGAGGGCCAACAGTGGGCACCGTTGCGTCATCGCCACCACCCTGCAGCAAACACCCCCAGACCTTTTGGCCGGAGCTCAGTCTGGGCGTGCCTTCTCTAGTCGCGCACTCCGCAATACTAAAGCCTGACTCTCTGGGGCCCCCGAGGGTCGGCACAAGTCTGCCCTGCATGACGTGAGCCATATGCCCAAAACAAGCAAGACGATACAGTGACCCGCGCCGCCAGAGCCCGCCGGATGAGCGTTCCTGGGGGGCTCGGGAGAGCCTGGAAGGCCGCGCCGAGGAGGAAAGCCATCTCTGGGCCTCACCCTGCCGGGACCTGCCCGGGGACTTTTCGTTCGGGGGCCCCCAGGTGCCGCCCCACGCGGGCGAACTAGAAACTTGTGAAGCAACTCCCGGAGTTCTTCAGCACGCCTCTGGCCCGGTGGGCCGGCGAATTCGCTCTGCGCCGCCCGTGGCGCGTTCCGCGCGCCCTTTCGGAGCCCGCCAGATGAGCCTCTCGTACCGGAGGATGACGCAGTGGCAGCTCCTGTTCATCGTGTGCGTGGCCGCCCACTGGATCAGGCGGCGTGCCGCCCTCTCCGACTGCGCCCGGGGAGGAGGGGCAGCAGCAGCAGCAGGAAAAACAGCGATTCCAGGATGCTGCGCCCAGTTTTAGACTTGGGGGGATGATGATGATGATGATGATGATGATGATGATGATGATGATGATGATGATGATGATGATGATGATGATGATGATGATGATGATGATGATGATGATGATGATGATGATGATGATGATGATGATGATGATGATGATGATGATGATGATGATGATGATGATGATGATGATGATGCTGATGCTGATGATGATGATGATGATGATGATGATGATGATGATGATGATGATGATGGTGATGATGATGATGATGATGATGGTTATGGTTATAATGATGATGCTGACGATTACGATGATGATGCTGATGATGATGCTGCTGATGCGGATGCTGATGATGATGCTGATGAGGAGGACGAGTATGAGGATGGGGATAAGCATGAGCATGAGGATGCGGATGGAGGAGGAGGAGGAGGAGGAGGAGGAGGAGGAGGAGGAGGAGGAGGAGGAGGAGGAGGAGGAGGAGGAGGAGAGGAGGAGGAGGAAGAGAGGAGGAGGAGGAGGAGAGGAGGAGGAGGGAGGAGGAGAGGAGGAGGAGAAAGAGGAGGAGAGGAGGGGGGGGAAGGAGGAGGAGGGGAGGAGGAGGAGGAGGAGGAGGAGCAGGAGGAGGAGGCGAAGGAGGAGGAGTGGGAGGAAGTACAACGGCAGGGGCAGGGCGAGGAGAAGGATAACGGACGCCCGCCATCGTGGATTTTGATTTTTGTTGGTTGCTGTTCTTGCAGCCAGTCTGGGTGACGAGCGCGGGTGCTCCAGGACGGCATGTCGAAGTCGCGTGGCGAAGTGCATGCAGCCTGGCACTGCGAGGGTGAGACGGGCACCAGTCTGTATTGGCAGCAGTTTGGAGTACTTTTCGGCTCTGGTCATCGTCTGTGGAATTTGCGGAGGGCCGTGGGAACAGCAAAGTGCCTCGGATAATTGCGCGTAATTTCGAGCCGTCCCGTATTTGGACTTGACGAGGCATTGGCATGTCTGCACACCTGGAGGCATTCGCGATGTGAATGCGCTACGGTTTCATTTTTTATGTTATGGCAGTTTATCCCTCGCTGCGGGCCCTGCGCACTGCTGAGCCCGTCGACGCAGTGCGAGTTGTCCTCGGTTGCTCCGAGATCGGACTTTTTCGAACATCGCTCTAGCATTTCCATTTCTCGCTAATTCTTTCGTTGATCTCAGACTGCCCACGTCGAATACTGTCGGGGCGCACCAGGAAGTCACCCAGCACATCACGGGGTGTGCCTGCATGGAGTGAGCTGTTTCGGTTGCTAAGTAGATGTATGCTCTCAAAATGTCCAGCGACGTGTTGAACGACTGTGGAGGTCTTACTCTCATCATCAGAGACTGTGACCCTGGCTCACCTTCGTGGGCAGCGGATTGCTCCCTGTCTCGCCGGTCCTGCATCGGTGGTGCCGCTCCCGCAGCGCGGTTGCGGCTCGTTTCTTTGGTTGATCGCTTGCGTGGCGTGCGTGCTTGCGGGGCCCGCATGCGCGGCGTGCTTGCTTGCTTGTCTGCTTGCGCGATTTGCGTGCGTGCTTGCGTCTTTGTCTGCGTGCGTGCTGCTTGCTCACGTACGAGCCTGCTTACCTACTCGCGCGCCCCATTTCGGGTTTGCATGCTTGCGTGCTGGCTTGTTTGTTTGCTCGTATACTTGCATGCTTGCGTGCGTGTTTGCTTACTTGCTTGCTTGCGTGGTTGACTGCTTGTTTGCTTGCTTGCTTGCTTGCCTGCGTGCGTGCTAGCTTTCTCGCGTGCATGCGTTCGTTCATGATTCCTCGATTGCTCCCAGACATCCCGCTCATCAATGCCACCAGCTAGGCTACCCAAATGTATTACACTACGTCGATTTTGAGTTCACGCTCGAATTTGGTCGTATTCTACCAGCGAGCATTTTTCCCCATGGGTTTCGCGCTGCAGAACCATTATGGCCACGCCTTTGCGGCGTGGACCGTCTTTGTATGTAGTGCAACGTGGAGAACCATCCCATGGGAAGGCGGTTGACGAAACATGTCGGGGCGCATCTTGACTCCGATTTGCGCGACGGGAAGCGTCGGAGTGGTTCGATGTATACACCACGTCGTTTGGTCGGCCATGGAGGCAAGGGGGTCGGCGAAGGACATCTGTGTATAGACGCTCCAGCCTCCCACAGGTCGGGCAGCCGGGGCGTCTGTACACGAAGCTTCCTGGCCGACCAGCCGACGTGGTGCACAGATTAAGCCCCTCCCAAAGCACTCCCTGCAGCGCGCGCCGTTGTTCCCCGAGCTGTGCTCACTGCCCAGGTGGGTTCCCCTGGGCTTCTTCTGTGCCCGCGCGTGCCGGCCTCGTGCCCACTCTGTGCGCTGGGTGGGTTCCCCAGGGGGAGGGGGGGAGGAGGAGGAGCAGGAGAAGGAGGAGGAGCAGCAGGATGAGGAGGAGGAGTAAGAGGAGGAGGAGGAGGAGGAGGAGGAGGAGGAGGAGGAGGAGGAGGAGGAGGAGGAGGAGGAGGAGGAGTAAGAGGAGGAGGAGGAGGAGGAGAAGGAGGAGGAGGAGGAGGAGGAGGAGGAGGAGGAGGAGCCGAGTGCCCCCCCCCCCCCGCGTCCGCCTCGTGCCCGCAGCGTGCTCGCTTTTGTATGACCACACCACACGGCCTGCACCACGTCGATTCTTGTTTGCCTGACATGGAGATAGGTTCTCCCATTCTCCAGGGCCCAGGCTCATCGAACACCCGTGGGGCAATGCAATTTACACCGGGTTCTGCCGCATCCATAGTTTTCCAGATGAATTGATACCATCTCAGGCGAGCCGGCATCGACCCCCCCTCACTATTGTCAAATAAGGTAATGCGCGCACATTCTTTTCTTTCAAGATCCCTTGCAAACTCAAGACTCCCTTGCCAAATTGTATCACAAAGTCAGTACTCGCGCACACATGCCGAAAGTATACCAAACATCATACTTCACCAGCGTTACAACAAATCGACATCAAACACCCATGGGTCTTTGAATGAACATCGTACAGATGTTCTACCCGCGCGCACTTGCTGAACTCATGGGGCAACTATATGATCCTAGCAATCTTGTCAAGAAACCGCATTCTCATTTCACCACGTGGTGCGTCAGCTTCGATCCAGCATGCGCCCGACGCACGAATCTTTTATCAATGATGCGGGCCAGATGTGCGCGCCGCCACGTGTGCGGCGCGTGTCGAAATCCTCTCATAACCATTGTTCCCGAAACAGTTCAAGATTCATCTCTTCGAACACATACGAGTAACACGTGTTATCCAGCAACGATGCCTTAGTTGTTCAAAGCAATCGGAGCGCGTGCTTTTCCTTATCACCCATATCAGCGACACCGAACGCCCACGGTTATATATATATATATACATATGTGCGTATAGATCGGCATTGCCAGTCGCTGCCGCTGCCGCCATCAGTATCACAACCGATTTCCTCTCCGACACATGGATATCATCATCGTCATCTTCGTCACCAGCATTGGTGCTGTCATTAGCCTAGTCGCCGTCATCGTCATCATCGCCACCACCATCGTTATCATCATCTTTGTTGCCGCCGTTGCCGACGTCATGATATCGCTCCCGCCCGAGTCACCGACCATCACTGAGGTGCCCGCGCGCCCACGCGGCCTTTGAAACGCGCTGGGAAGTTCCAATTGGTAAGCGTCATCGCGGCCGCATCAGTTGCGCCAAACGAGCTGGTCGCTATGCGCGCGAGTGTGCGTGCGCCAGCGCTGCCGTGCAACTTCGAACCGGGATTCGCAATCGTGGCCGAAGGGGTTCTGCCAAACAGATTGCGGGTGGGAGGATGGGATGTTTGCGCGAGTGTTGGACTTGACGGTTTCAAGATTGTCGAAGTTAGTTGCGTTCGGTGGTTTCACCACGTAGATTGGACCCCGTAGAGTGCACAGCGTATATTTACAAAACTTTACAGCTGACGCCCCGTAGCTTGTACCAGACAGATCGCACCACGTAGATTGCACCACCTAGACTGACACACATGTTACATGACATGAAAGTCGCTACGTAGAGTTCATCCCATATTTCGCACCGCAGAGAGCACACAGCGAGAGTGCTGTAGCCCCCCTCTCAGGCTCCTCGTTGGCAGGGGTTGTGCCGGATGTGCTTCGGTACCACGTGCATTTCGATTGGATCCTTCCCCTTGATGGCAGCAGCAAACACAGTCGAGTCGGCGACGCGGAGCACGTTCTCCAGCTGTGCCTCGCATTATCAGGCCACGATATAGAAGAGCTCGAAGAGGCTGGCTACGCGTCTCAAGCCTTCTTGGGAGAGCTGTCTTTTCATGTACCTCAGGAGTCCATCTCGCGAGGTGCGTTTCCCAATGGCCCAATGGAGCCTGTCCTTCCAGCCGCCCGCGCCTCTGCTTGGACGAGAAGGTCGGACAGGTGATGGAGCCGGAGCGCGATGTTTGCACCAAAAGGTGCCGTTACAGTCGGCCGTGATCAGCAGGTCGACCATGCCGAGGGTGCCCTTGCGTCCTATGTTTCCTGCAGGGTCTCGTGTCCTCTCGCGTGCCCCCTCCAAGCAAGTGCGACTGTGCCACAAAAAGTATCCGCATCTGTCGGCAACGCGTCGGGCACGAGAGGGCTCTTTCCAGTGGCTACGCGTTTTGGCACGAGGCCCTCTGCGGCTCTGTCTGCGCACTCGGGGCTCCTGTTTCCTGGCCGCCTGGCCGCCGGAGGATGCCCAGAGAAGCGGAGGTCCTGCCAGGGCTCGACCTAAACGGTGTTCTGGCGATTTCGTGGACCGTTTTCGCTCTGATCTTGTTTTGCCGCAGAGGCGGAACGAATTCGAGACGAGGAGAATGAACACAGCGGTAAGGCGAGCATTGAACCCTTTCCCTCGCAGTCGGTCTCGGCTCAAGCTGCGGCTGCAGATTGCCATCGTTAGGATGCAAGTCCTGGGAGGTTCCATTCAGCATCGGCGCTGGTAGGCCTCATCCGGCATAGTCCCGTTTAGTGACGTCGGCGAAGTCAGGCCATAGCTTGGGTTTCATCCGGTCTAGCCCGGTTTGATAGCCCGTTTGGATTGGCTGAGCAGTCCCTCCTCGTTCTTACGAGGAGACCTTCCAGGAGTTGCCTCTTGACCGCCGCTTCCCCAAAAAGAAACCGTCGGCCATTTATCGAAGAACAAAACAAAGGCATGCACATTGACCTTCGAAGCTCCGTGCGGATTTCCTGGATCCGCGCTGCACCCTCCTCCCTGGCGCGCGGAGCGCGCCAAGGCCGCCAAGGGCGGCGTCAGAGGCGCCGCCAGGGGGCCCAGCGCCGATCCACGGAACCCGCGGTGACCTCCGAAAGCTCGTGCTTACGTGTGCCGTTCGTTTTTTCTTCCTGGCTCCACTTCGCAGCACGATGCCCCGCGCTGGAGGCCTCCCGCTCTGCCTCCTGGCCGTGCCGGCGCTGGTTCCGGCGGCGCTCGGCGCACACCTCGCGGACGCGCCCGCCACCGAGGTTCCTTAGGAGCAAGAGGTCATGATAAGGATACGCTCCAGGATTTCTGAGGTTCATGGGATCTCCCATGTGTTCCCAATCGCTCCACACGGGCTTCACAAACGAGGGTCGCTAGATGACCTGTGAGTTATGGAACGAATCCTCGGCGTCACCCCAACGTACTGATGCTCTGTGTGCGTCGCCCCCGGGCGACGCGCGCGGCGCGCGCCGAGAAGTCTTACAGTATAAGCTCTGTGGCGGGCGCTTTGTTGTCGTACCTTTTGGGGAGCGATATACTACAGTATGTTTGTATTATACGATCTGATTGGATTCACTCCTTCGAGAAGGACACATCGTACTAGTATGTTCTTGTGCATCCCAAGATAATTTGGACATCCTGGATCGTATCCTGAGCCACTCCTATCATGACATCGTTCTCGTCCTAGAGGCGGCCACGCCGGGCACGCGCGCGCAGCAGATGATGCGCTCCGAAGACCTCGGCGCACAGACACCGACCAGCCTCGCGGACCGGGGTGCCCAGCAGGCCACTGCGAGGAGCGACCCCAGATCTCCGACGATGTGTTTTTTTCGATCCGGGTGGCCTTCCCTAGATTTCGGCCCCCAGGACCCGTTCTCGGGCCCCGGGCCCATCGGCAACGGATCCGTGAGGCAAGACTGCCCCCTGAGGTCGAAGAACGCTTGTGGGTGCTGGATGCATTATTGTTTCCACTGCAAGGGGGGAGGGGGAGGAGGGGGGTCCTCAATGGCTTCACTAGGCTACCCCTGGGGGTGGGAGTCGGGAGCTCCATGGGGCCGCGGAGTGAAAGAAAACCAGATCGGGGGATGTTTGGGACGCGCGCTCCCAGCAGCAGGGCAGCACCGCCGTCCAGGGGCTCGCGGACACAGTGCCCGGCGCGGCTGGCCCCCCCCTGGACGCTGGAATCAAGCTGTCCTATCCGTCCTTTCCGTTCTTCGGCTCCACCGTGGCCGCGGGCGACTCGGCTGCAGCGCCGGCCGCGGTGCCCGTGCATTACGCGCCGGCGCCGGTGCAGCACAGCTACGCGCCAGCGCCAGTGCAGCACAGCTACGCACCTGCGCCAGTGCAGTACGCACCAGCGTCGCTGCCAGCGCCGGCGCCCCAGTGGGGCGGAGCGCGCTGA